CCTCTTGGCCTTCCTTCTGGAATTCTGGCAGAAGGAATTTGCCGTCGTCCCCTAGTGGGATCAACTTTAGAATCTTTGCACCGAACACTTTCAATCAAAATGTAGGCAGTCACAAGTAAGAATGATACTCTGTTTTGATGATGTGCCACTCCTAAGTTGAATAAAAACCATGTCTATAGGCAAAACATTTCCTAAAAAGCTTCATATCCAACAAAGCCAACTACTTCTTGGCTTAAGGAGTCATGAAGATACACCGTCTACGCGACAATTTCTTCTTTCTGGAAGGCCAAGTCAAATAAATCTCCAACAAGACATCAACAACAAGACTGATGAGACGCATCCAATGCACTCTTCGATAGCTTCAGGGCTAAAACAACTCCACTAAGCCGGGTACATTGGCATGCTTGTGGCTTCGTCTTTCCATTAGAAGGAACCCTAGTCTTCCGCTTACCTGCTCGTACACACTGAACCAAGTCTATTGAGTTCTTTGTGACAGCCTTTTCAGCGGTTAGACGTGGTCTGACCTTGTTTTCGCAATTTGGTCGTATTTTCACGGCGAACTAGTTGGGCCCACCTTGTACAAAAGTCCAACTAGGTCGCCCCGACTACACGACCAAGTTACGAAAACGAGGTGAGACGATTTCTATACAACGAAAGGAGACTGCGACCGAAACAGAGGCCACATCACTTCATATTTGATAGCTACAATTCCAGTATTTAGCCTTTGAAACTCTAGATTGCGACGACTAGGTTGGATCATAGTAAAAGGAGGAAGGACAGTGAATAAGTTATACACGCCACAGCCAGCTAACTTGTAGGTCTGTTTTGTGTGTTCGCCAAAATAATAGACCCTCTGCTCTGGTCAATACTATCCTTCTGCCGACAGTCCGTCCTCGGTTCGTGTTCCACAGATTGGGAATAGTTGAAAGCGGCACCGCCAGCCTCCGGACCGTTTATGTCTCGAAGCCCCTTCTTACCGCCTTCCGGTCTGGTGGGCCGAAAAACGGCTGGCGCCTTCAGTCGTGAGGCCGCCAAATGAGGGGCAGCCGGTCGAAAAGTGTTTGCGCTAGATCGGCCGGTAGAGTTGGCGGAATAGACGTTCTGGTTCTCATGGCCGGTTGCCAATGGCTGCACATGCCATCGCGTCTGCCCCATTCGGAGCGTGGATGAGGCCTGGAGAGACCACGGAGTGCCTCTTCTACAGCTGCGGTTGTATGGAAGCATA